GGAGGCGGCAGTGGCCATGGCCGAGGCGTCGCCGCACCCCGGACGCTACTTCTGCCACTGCTGCTCGGTGGAGATCGTGCCGCGTCTGCCGGTGAGACCCCCGCGGGAGGGCGGCGGGGCATTGCGCGCGAGACGGCACGGAAGAGAAACTGAGGCGCGGGGGGCGGCGGGAATGTTGGGCGGCGGCGGCGGCGGGGCGCCTGGGATGACGCAAAGCCAGACGGACCATGGGGACCGGAAGCCGAGCGCAGCGCCGAGGACGGCGGCCCAGCGCGTGGCCCGACTGCAGGGGTGCGCCGCGCGGCCTCCAGCGTCGCCCTAGGCCCTCAACTTCACCCCAGGATCCCGCTTGAGTGTCCCCAAGGCCCCTGCATCTCGGTCAAGGCAGCTTTGTCCAGATTTATGTCTGGGGACCCCACCTGGGTGTCCCCCTCATCTTCTGCATCTAGTTTAAGGTGAATTTGACCAGCTGCATCTCCAAAACCCCTAGTGGGTGTCTCCAACACTCCTGCATCTTGTTTAAGGTGGATTTGTGTACCTTCATCCCACGACCCTGCCTGTGTGTCTCGAAACCGCCTGAATCTCGGTCAAGGCGGCTTTTTCAGCTGCTTGTCTGGGGATCACACCTGGGTGTCCCTAAGTTTCCTGCTGCTTCCTTTAAAGTGGATCTGGTCAGTTGCACCCCAGAACCGCAAGCAGGTTTCCTAGGGACCACACTTTTGTGTGTCCCCAAGCTGCTCCCATCTTGTTCAAAGTGGTTTTGTCCAGTTCTGTGTCTGGGGGCTCCTGCCTCGGTGTCCCCAAGTCTCCTGCATCTTGTTTAAGGTGGCTTTGTCCAGTTCTGTGTCTGGGGACCCAGCCTGGGTGGCCCCAAGTCTCTTGCATCTTACAGAAGAAGATGGCTTTGTTCAGGTGCATCCCGAGGACCCAGCTGGGTGTCCCCAAGCCTCCTGCATCTTGTTTAAGCTGGTTTGGGCCAGTTCTGTGCCTGGGGACCCTGCTTGACTATCCTAGGGCCTCTTACATCTTTTAAGTTGGCTTTGATCAGTTGCACCCCAAGACCACACCTGAGTGTCCTCAGGTTTTCTTGTTGAAGGTGGGTTTGGCCAGCTGCACCTTGAAGACTCTGCTTGGGTGTCCTCCAGCTTTCTTTTCCTTTTTCTGGGTGGTTTTGGCCAGCCCCATGCCTGGTGGGGGAGCTCTCAGAGCTGTGGGGTAGTGTCTCAGGCCCTCTGCTTCCTGCCCAGGTTTTGAGCCTCAGACACCCACACTTGTACCCTGAGGAGAATTGAATCTAGAGTGCTGACTCCCGGAGTCTTATTCCTGCTTACTTGCTTCCCATACCCCACCTCTGCAGCAGCTTTTCCTGTCCCCAGCATCTGAGTAGGTGGTCCAACCTGGGGAATGAGCAGACCCTCCAAGCTGCTGAGGGCCCTGTTCTGGGTGACTGCTCTGCGCTCAGCTGTTGGTCTCTCTTCCTGAGGCCAGCACAGTGCCAGGTCCTGGCCTTGTGGCTTTGGACAAGGAGGACCCTGACCTTTGACTGCACTGTGCCTAGCAGGATTCGTCTCCTAGCTCACAGTGACCCAGCATCATCTTGTTCTTGAGGGCTGGTCAGCAATTGACAAGTGTTTCAACACCAGTGTTGGTGGCTTTGATTGCGCAGATAATACAGCCGGGCCCTGGGGCAGGTTTCTGAACTCTGGGATACCTGTGGTCTCCATTCCAGCATGGGATACCCAGAAAGGGACCTTGCCCCACGTGTGGCCTCTGTGACAGCTGCCACTCTGACACCAGAGTTGGTTGATAGAAACACCCACTTCCAGTGAGGGCATCTTTGCAGGTTCTGGTGACCCCAATCTCACTGAAGGGTCACTACTTGGCTGTGGCCCTGGACCAGGGGCTCTACATCGTCACCAGGCACTTGGTGTCATTTTGTGTCTAGTAGGCTGTGGGTTGCAGACAGTGATAAGCATCTTCAGTCTCACCCTTCACTGAATGTGGCTGGGGCTCTGTGTGGTGCCCTTGGGGTTGTGGCTGAGGGCTCAGCGTTTGGGCACAGGAAGGTGGCTTGGCTAGCAGTGTGTAAGCTGGAAGCAGGTGGCATGCCAAGAGGCCAAGGTCAGTGAGCCCAGACTGGATCCTCTGCAGATGTGCGGGTGGGGGGCCATGTAATGAACTGGTGCAACCCAGCTCCTCACCTCACCTGCTCTGTGCTCCATGGGTCAAGGAGAGGGAAAGATGGGTACAGTTGTAGGTACCTGCTGCACGTAGGCCTGTAGGGGCTGTCAGTCACCCTGACCATGAGGAGGCAGGATGGTAGCCAGTGTGGGCAGCTGTTGTCATCAGCATTGATGTCCCTGGGGTGGTGGAGGTCCCAGGCCACTGTCACTTCCTGATAGCACCTTCTTCACAGTGGCCATCCGCACCCTATAGAAGCTTAGGCCTGGAGTGTGGGTGGGAGTGGTCAGATCTGGGCAGCTGTTCCAACCCCAGCACACAAGGTAAAGGCATCCACCACTCTCCTGGTGGGAGCCTGGAGGCGGGGGTATGCTGCCAGGTGAGGTGCTACTTGGACCCTTGTGAGATCCAGTACCTGTCCTGGCAGTGGCTGGCTGTGTCTTCTGAAGTTGGGGCTCACATGGTGTGGGGCAGACAGTGCTGCACCAGGGGCCTTGGTGCCTTACACCCCATCAACTCTGGAGTGCCCATGGGTGGTCTGCTCTGGCAGATGCTTAGGCCAGGAGTCACTGGGATCACTGTGAACAGGGGTCACTGCAGGGTGACCCTGACAGGAGACAAGCATGTGCCCACCTGAGAACCATCAGCAGTCAGCACTGGGCACAAGCCCACCCCACCCGTGTCCCTGGGCAGTGACTGGTGAGAGATGGCTGAGGGTGGAGGTTGAGGTAGACTGTGCCAGACCTAGGGGGTGCTGACACCATACTGTGCCAGAAGGTTGACACCAGTCTGCCTTGGGTCCTGCCCACAGTGGAGGCCAGCCCCCAACCCTGATGGGGCCCGTGCTGGGCTTGGCACCCATCCCTGGTCAACTGAGTCACACTGGCATTGTCCTAGTGACTAATGGCATTACTTTTTTCAGTGCCTGGGTGGTGCACTTGCAGCTGTGGCAATGTTCTCCATGGTACAGGCCTCACATGGGATCACCACGTGGGTATCTTTGAGGCCACCCATCTGCCTGCTTTTAGCCATTAGCTGGAGCAAGTGGGATAGGTGTGGCATGTGGAGCCTGGCCATGAGGCCTGTGGCCTCAGCACTATGACATCCACAGATGGACCTCAGCCCTGCTGCTGTCTTGACACTGGTAGACGAAGCCTTGAGAGCTGCCACACAGGGGATACATGTCCTGCACTTGTTCTGGTTGTCCTCCAGTTTTCTGACCCTGTGCTATGTCTGGGTGCATATCCCCATGCCTCTGAAAGCTCACACAACTGTTGTGCCTGTGTGGTTTCAGCTCTTTGTGTGGGGCTGTGGAGTGGCTGTCTGCAGAGGGTCAGCAAGTCCTGATATTTGGGAACTAAGAGGTCACCTGAAGGGTTCCAGACATGGGAGGGCCTGGTGGGGCAGCTGGAGTTGAAGCTGGCACTGTCCGTGCTGCCTTTCGGGGCAGCCCTGTGTGCCTCCAGCCTGACCTCTAGGCAGGGATTGCAGTGGGCAGCTGTGCTGAGCCCACTTCTCTCCCGCAGGATTACATCTGCCCAAGGTGCGAGTCTGGCTTCATCGAAGAGCTTCCAGAAGAGACCAGGTAGTGGCTGGGGCTGGAGACTGTGGTGACCTTGGCCTCACCTGCAGGGCAGACCTGCAGCTGCCTGTGCATAGTGAGAGCAGCCAGGGCAGGGCTGGGAGTTGAGGGGACAGAGGAAGCTGGCTGAGGACCCCACATTGAACAGCAGGTGTGAGGTGCCACATCAGCATTCTCTGGGGTTCCAGGGTGCACCATCTCCTTCCTGACCACATGTCTGACAGGGAGGCTACTGGTCCATCGTGACTCTGGGGTTCAGGACCAGGAATGGCTGCAGCTCACAGGCTCCATCTCTCCCCAGGAACACAGAAAACGGTTCTGCCACTTCCACAGCCTCCACAGACCAGAGCCGGCAGCCATTCGAGGTGAGTCCAGTCCCTGGATCCCATGCTGTGCCTTTCTTCATCCTCCTGGTAGGGACACCCACCAGACCTTCACTGGATGACATTGGGGCCCTGAGATACCCTCTCGAGTCCCTCCTGCATCCCCAGCTCCCATCCCTGTCTGCATACTGCAGAGTGCAGCTGACAGCTGCCTGGGCTCTGCCTGGGGTGCTCCCTTGTCTCCATCCAGCTTTTGTCCCTCCCTGGACAAATGATAGTGGTGGGAGGCCTGGGGCCACAGCCCTGCCTTCTCCTGAGGCGGCTGTCACAGGCTGTGCCCTCACTGCCTGTGGTGGACAGCCCCCTCTCCACACCCTCTCCACAGAGTGTGGACCAGCACCTGTTCACGCTGCCCCAGGGCTACAGCCAGTTTGCTTTCGGTATCTTCGACGATAGCTTCGAGATCCCCACGTTCTCTTCTGGGGTGCAGGCTGATGATGGCAGGGACCCTGAGAGCCGGCGGGAGAGAGAACACCAGTCCCGGCATCGGTATGGCGCCCGGCAGCCCCGCGCCCGCCTCACCGCCCGGCGGGCCACCGGCCGGCATGAAGGCGTCCCCACGCTGGAAGGGTGAGGGGGCCGGGACAGTGGGTGAGGGTCCAGTAGCACCCACGGTGGGCAGGCAGATATGGGAGACGTGCAGACATTGAAGACAGCACAGTCTGGTGGCTCTTAAGAGCCTGGGGCACCTCCCCTGAGCTGGGGGTCAATCTAGGCTGCAGAGCCAGCCCATCTTCTACCAGGGGGGCCTGGCTGCCACCATGACATTGTCTCTCCCACAGGATCATCCAGCAGCTGGTGAACGGCATCATCTCGCCAGCCGCCGTCCCCAGCCTGGGCCTTGGCCCCTGGTGAGTAGGGGGCGGGCGCCCTGCCCCTCCCGTCCTGCGCCCCCTGACCCGCCTCTCCCCCCAGGGGCGTCCTACACTCAAACCCAATGGACTATGCCTGGGGCGCTAATGGACTGGACGCCATCATCACACAGGTACAGCGGGGCAAGGTCTATTCCTGGTGTGTGTTGCTGCTTGTGACCTTGCAGGGTTGGCAGGTGGAGGCCCCCACCCCATTGGAGCTGGGCCACTTGGCAGGTGGACATCCCCTCCCCATTGAAGCTGCCCCTCAGGCTACTGCTTCCTCTTGCAGCTCCTTAATCAGTTTGAGAACACAGGCCCCCCACCTGCAGACAAAGAGAAGATCCAGGCCCTCCCCACCGTCCCTGTCACCGAGGAACACGTGGGTATGCTGTCTGGGATCAGTGGGCACAGTCACATGTGGCCCCCCAGCCACTGCACAGCCCTCACCCACTTCCTCCGCAGGCTCTGGGCTTGAGTGCCCTGTGTGCAAAGATGACTACGCACTGGGTGAGAGTGTGCGCCAGCTGCCATGCAACCACCTGTTCCACAACAGCTGCATCGTGCCCTGGCTGGAGCAGGTGCCCGACAACCCTGACCCTAGTCCTGATAACTCCCCCTCCACCCCAACCCTCACCTATGTTCTCTCCTAACCCCAGATCCAAACCCTCAGCCCTGACCCCAAACCCCAGCACTGCTCCCTCCCCTGGTCCCGACCCCACCCCCCAGCCGCTCC